AAATATGATAATATCATTAATTACTATGTATTTCCATGTAATAACAACTTTTTTGTAAATAATAAATAAATAAAAGTATTTTATTCTATTCTTAGAAATTGCAAATATAAAATGTTAATGCGTGATAAAAATATAACTTGAAATAGGTCGACTAATAGAACTAGATTTCCGGAGACAATGGAATCATTGTGTAGACGTTTAAACTAGTTACAAAATCAGTATGGATGTTTTTCTAGGGACATAAATAATTATATAATTATGAACCTAATTCGATTGAATCAAGCTAATTTTGGCTCCTCCAACTTTTTTCCGAAAGATTAAAGAAAAATGCTCAAAGCAGACTGATTGTTCTCGGAAATATATAGTTCTGGGGGTTCAAAATTTTGAATTACAAAAAAAAAATAATATTTTGAAATAGTTAAATCTCCGATATTGCACAGTACCAGAGTTGCATGAACGGGAATACGTTGCGACATCATTGGATTATTCAGGTTTATCATAAAAATCTCATTCTCAAAAAATTTTTTTTCTTTTGAACTCGTAAACTTTATTTCATTAGTTCATGCTGAAATCATGTTATTTTCACCTAGTTAATGAGATCAAAGATGTCAATTCCGCATGCAATTGCATTAATGATGATTTATGCGTGTGTCGACTTCAAACAACCCGTCTTTTGAAATAAAATCACGAGTTTAGGATGATAATCCGCAAATAACTCTCTATATTAATTAGCTTATACATTAAACCTAAAATTATTTAGATAAAGTAAAAACACTTTTAGTTTGTAAACTTGAAGTTTTCTTTTCGTAAAAATATAAAAAAAAAAAAATCATGTGAAATAGTATTTTTGGTAAGGTCATACATATTTTTCGGGTTTCTCCTAATTTATGAAAAATTTTCGTTTTATATTGTTTGTCAAAGTAATAACGCCTCGAAAGTGCATTTTCTTGCAGCCGTATTGCATGGGTCAGGTGATGATACACACAGATTTAAACCATAGGGAAAATATCTCAAAAGATCTTTTGACCGCTTTTTTTTTTTTTTTTTTTTTTTATAATCACCATCATTTTTTTATCTTCAAACATTTTCGTAAAATGGTTTGAAAAATAAAATAAAAATAAAAAATATAGATAATAGCTTTTAAAGGTGCCATTCATTACCCGAATAATAAAAGAAATCAACGGTATTATTTCGTATACATTCAAATTGTTTAATGAAGACCGATTAACTTATATTTCATGTAATGGCTTTGTTAATTAATTTCTTCGCTTGATTGATTTAATTGAATTGAAGAAAAAAAAAACGGATTTGCGATTTCACGTACAATCATTGTTCTCTAAATAATAATAAAAAATTACTTTCAGCCTAAATAAACAATAACTTAGCCATAGATTAAACCATCTCTCGATTCGAATTCTTCAACACAATATAAATAAAGTCACAATTATTGTTTTTGTATATGAGGAAACAAAATTTTTTTTTGTCGCTTACGAATTGTGTCACAATAAACGGTTATATTGTACTCTTTACAACTCGTAAATCATTATTTATTGTTTTTTTATTTTTTTATTTATTTATTTATTGTTTGGGAGAAACTTCCGGAAATTCAGTAATTGTTGTTCAAAAACACTTAACTGTGACGTTTCATAGCATCCGTTTGTAACATTGTGATTGGGACTTTCATGTGATGTTATATTCTGTTTGTTGTGACATTGCGATCGCGTATCACGTCAATGACCGGCAAGCGTTTTTCGAAATTTCAACATGTCAAACATCATCACGACATCAACAACAATATCAAGGATTATCAAACAAAAAATCGGCCTTGCATAGTCCATATTCTGAACGATAATAAAGCATAATATCAGATTAGGAGAGAAAAACGTATAATTTGTAACTTACCCTACCCTAATGTTGCATGACTTATTTGTTAGTGTCAAAAAAGAGCAATATCCAATATTGTAATTCTAAAACGGGCCGATAAGTTATGTAATCCTCAATAGAATCAAGATTCTTTGAAATTAATAAATTATGTGATCAAAACATTTTAAAACATTCAAGCACAACTTATCTAATAGATTTCTTTATTTATTTATTTATTTATTTATCATTATATATATATATATATATATATTACCCAATCATTCAATTTATTGCCTCATTTGAAACCATTTGAAATACATTTTAAGCGAGACGAAACAAATGACGTGATTTCTGGAGCGAAAGCTCCTTGAAATCATTTCCAAACAGAAAATCCGACGATATACAAGAAAAAATTTTTTCTTTATTTTAGATCTTCACAAGCGTCCTAAATTTGGAATTTAGGTTTTTTTGACAAATTATGTAAACAATGAGATAAGTAATTTAAACATGTAAACAGAAGGTTAATTCTATTTTTTTTTTTTTTTTTTCTTGTTCAAACGATCAAATAATAATTAATAATAAAAACATTTACACAAAAGAATTTTGTGAACCAATCTCAGTTTTAAAAATGATGTAAATAAAGTTAAACGTAAGTTGGACTTTATAATTTCCAAATCAACCATTGTAAATCCAAAATTGATATTTTTAAGGGTCCAAACATTTATTAAATTTATTTGATTTGTCCTCAGTTTCAAAAATTACATTTCGAATTACTATTTAAAGATCATCCGTCAGTTTTAAACAAGGGGTTCCCAGTTTCCTTTTTAAGATTTTAATTATTGATAATCCCGAAAGTTTTGAAGTTTTGTTTAAAAATTAAATGCGTGATGTCGATTGATCATTTAATCACCAAGAATGGCACTATTATGGGTCACATTTTATGATTGCTGTCTAATAAACAAAATTCAATTTAGGACTTTCAATGCTATCTGAAATTCCTGAAAATTCAATCTTTAATCTTTGAAACGTTTGATGTCGTGTCGGAGTAAACCGGGGGCAATTAATTAAATATTCAAAGATAAGGTATTTTAATAGTTCACAATTACAAGGATGCCTGCGTCATTTTTTTTTTATTTCAAAGAAAAATCTTAATAATGAAATGAACTTCTTTATTCTCGTTATTTAAATATCTAGTCAAAGAAAAAAAATCACACATGCTTCTTTTTCTTAAAAAAAAAAATAAAGAAAAAATCATGAACATCTATTCATACCAAAGAGTTGTTTTGTCAGTTACATAATAAACCCTTTTAAACTTTTGGTTATCATTATTTTAAACTGAAATTGACATGAACCTTTTGAAGGATTAGGTAAAAAAAAAAGATTATCAATCAACACAATACATGTTAAAGTAAATGGAGTTACAAGAATAATATTTTGTTGTTGTTGTTGTTGTTGTTATCATTATTCCATTTAAAATGATTTCAACTAAACCGATAAAGCAAATCCTTGCATATAAATTCTCATACATATTATATTTAATCCTTTTAAAGTGGGTAATAAAGTGGGGGAACATTACAATTAAAGATGCACCCGTAACTGCAATTCATTAAGCCAAACTTTGAGAAATTTTCTTTATTAAGGTATAATAAACGAAATTGTCGTAACACTTGTGTCGAGTATTTTCGATAAAATAACATTTGTTGTTTCAAAAAAGGAATTGTGTAATAATAGTCATCTGAGAACAAAAGCGGGTATGAACACTTTGGGTGAGTTGAATGGTGAGAAACATCACAATCGTGAATTCGATGTCACCAAATCAATTTTCACACGATTGATATTGCTTACTATAGATTAAGTTAGCATCTAAATGATCGTTACTTGATTCGACCTATTAATGAAAAAAAGGAGGTCAATAGTTGATTTTTCATTAACGATAATCCGTTTCAGGGAATATTTGAATACCATTAATCTTTATCATTATAAATTTCACCAGATCTATCATTTAAATCCGAATAGGAAGCAAAATGAAATCGTTTTAGATTCAGGAAAGATAAGAATTGCGAAAAAAAAAAATTTTAAAATTAAAGAGAGCTAAAATGAAATAAATTTCGAGAATTAATGAAATAAATGCATGATGTCTAATTTTCCGAAATTAAAAATGATATTCATTCAAATAAATATACACCATTTTTTAATAATCAGTTTTTTGAAGTTTGACAATCAATGTTTACTTTATGTCTTTGTCTGCGCATTCATGACTCCTGATTTGTGCATGATAATGAGAAACATGTTTATCTATCAAATTGTCATATAAAATACGGATTAGTAGTATATTCAAAAATTCGAACCTTAGAAGAGTTCCGGACCCTTAAAGCCACCTGATTATTTTTGTTAATTTGGCTGTTTCCACAGAACGTCTTTTTATGGACCATGTGCAGAAAAAGACAGTTATTAATTACCAATTAATATCAATTAATATGAAAACAATATAAATGTCATTGTATAAATGAAACTTTTAAAAGTAAACAAATTATTTGATGTTTCAATTCTGTTGTAAAATGGGATTACAGTATATATAATTTTAGAGGTTGAATTATACAACATTTGCTTTCTACGCGAATTCTATTGGATGATCAAGACATTCTGATTACTCGGAAACAAACACGAAATGCTATGAACAATTGCCAACATTTTAATAATTTTCGTGGAACGTTCACTACAGTAAACCTTCTATTTCTTTTTTTTTTTTTTTTGAAAAAATTTTATTAATGATTTCAATGAATATTAATTACAAAAATTAAAAGATGACAGATAAATAAATAAAGAAATGCAAAAGAGTAAGATAAATTCATATAGCAGCAAATAGATAAAAAAAAAAAAAAGTTCCTATCCATAACTTTAAAAATCTTAATACGAAATCGGAAAGGATAACGCGTTGAATAACAAATCTTTTCGTATTTTCACGTATTTAAAATAAAACTACTTTTTTTTTTTAATAAATATGTATTTACAAATAACGAAAGTTTTTATAATAATAAATACACAAAAAAAAAAAGATTACAATAAAGTGCCTTGCTTTATTGCGTAAAATTAAGTTTTGGGAATGAAATTATTTTTTGTTTGTGCCAAACTTTAAATTAATTAAAATCATTACGTCCGGGAACATTCCAAAGCTCGGCTATTATATTTTCGTTAATAAATTCATCTATCGTGGTGGGTGAACCTTGTTGAGAAGTTTGTATTCTTCCTTGAATGATATCCCCAATTGAATTGGCAACCCGGAGAATACCATCCATCTCTAATTGTGCATAGCAATTGAATTCGTTGGTGGTAACCGAATTCCTTGTTGTTGGCCTTTCGTTCGTGACCTTTTGAAGGTTGTTAACTTGGCTTTCCAATGTATTTACTCTTTCTTCGAGGATATCCACATATTCATCACTTTGTTCGCAATTTTTACATTCGTTACACTTTTTCTTTTGTTTTTTATTGTTCTGTAATCTTCGAACTACCATAAAATGCGTTTTTCCCGTAACGTCAATGACGTCGGGCGTTGTATAAGACTTTCGCCCACGTTTCGACGGGGTTTTCGTCTTATACGGCCTCGTTTCGATTTGTGAAGGTGGAGTCATTTTGTCCTTTGAATTTTTTTTTTTTTGTTTCTTAAAAGATTAAAAAGCTTAAATCTTTTTTTAAAAAAAGTAAGAAATAAAAAAACTACTCTCTATTTATAAACAAATTCATACGATATATTCGGAAGTTTTTACATTGAGTTTATTTAACATACTCTTTTATGGAAAGGTTTATATTATATAGTCTAGTAAAATAAGGAAAAATAATGTGTGAACTAACACACGTGCTCTGATTGCCTTGTTTGTTAATATATTTTAACTTGATTAATAATTTCTTTTTTTAAACCACCCCAATTAAAACTTGCCAAGAGATGTTCCCGAACAAGTCACATGTGATGAAATGTTTCATAACGCCCTTTGATTTTTCAGCAATTATTACGGGACAATATTAAAAAAAGTCTTTAAATGGACCGAATATATCGTTACGTTCAAAGTTGCTTTTTTTTTTATTGAATTTGTTTTAACTATTTAACCGAATAGTACACCAAATTATGATCTTTAAGAAAAGATGAATCGACCAAAAAATATCGCCAAGAATTAATTTTATCACGTGCATAAATATAATTGGTTTATTAGCTGCACGATGACTGCACTATTGTTTTAACGATATGTAGTACCAGAATGAACCCAGTCAAGACAGATGACATTTATAACGCAATAAAGTAAAGAACCATGAAATTCATTGCATGAATCTCAGATCGCTAGCACTGTGAATTTTTGTCATCCGTTATACAAAAAGGATCATTTTTTCATTTGAAATAATAAATTCTCGATGTTATGACATCAAAAAACAAAGAAACTGAAGAAAGGCTGCAGAAAATGATATAAAAGAGATTTAATTTGCTTTCAAATAGTGAAAAAAAAAACAAAATACGACATCATGTGTACAAATGCTTCATTATATAATCTTTTACTTTCTTGGATTACAAATACGTTAGTCATCCATCCATCATACAAACACACTTGTCAATATTTCCAAAACGCGACAAAAAACAATATTGTCATTGTAATCGGGTTGTCTATCATACATAATCTCACAATCTAATATGTACATATATATACTGATTTTCTATAGATTCGCGTTCAGCTGCTCAATATACTAACCGATTTCATTGCTTATACAAAGAATAAATAACATGACCGGATTAAGAGGATTAGTTTAAATTTGTTCCATGTACTTCAAGCCCGCAAAGACCGTGAATCGCAAAAATGGAAGTAATTGACTTTAATCTCCTTTTGGTTAAACGAACAAGTATATGGGGTGAATGCTGCGAAAAGGGACCAAAATTGTAAAAAAATTTTTTTAAAAAATAATTAAAGTTCTGGATCAAACAATAAAAGTTACATCTAATTTAATTAGGAATTATTTTTTGACAATTTGGTCCCTTCAGTAATGATGTAAGCGCACATGGCACGACTCATCTTTGAATCATGAGCGATCTTCGGATCGGGACCTTTTGTTTATTTATTTATAGAGAACATCAAAAAAATTCCACATACTATCTATACCTTTTTATACATTGTTGAGTAAACTTCAGAAGGTTCCAAGAATGAAAATCAATCACAAGATTGTCAAATGATCGAACGAAAAAAAAAATAAAGATTCTTCCTAGCAGTTTGCATTTAATATCTTTTGTGCGATATTATAAGGTATAGCAAAATGATCATTAATAGTAATTCTCAATTAATGCTTATCACATGATGCATAATTACATGGCTTATCAAGTGACTTAACTTATATAATTACGTTTCTTTTTCTTTTTCTTTTACAAAAAAAAAAATTTATTAGCGTTAGAATTAAAGTTTAGTCATGGTTTACAAACCTATTTAGAGAGAAAAATGAAATTGATAAATTGATAAAGAGGTGGTTTCTGATCCAATTACTATTCGAACATAAAAGGGTTAACATTTTCCCCCTTAGGTATAACGTGATTTAATAAAGAAATGGCCACATGATTTATACTTAATTAGTTAGTCATGAGATCACATATACCAATCATAATTTTATTCAAAGTTACCATATGGGAACCTTTGAGTTATTGCTAAATTTGTCCTGAAAATCATATTTGATATAAAAGTAAAATTGATTTTTTCCGGCAGTTTTCCCTTTTTTCAATTGTAAAAGTCCCATATTACTATAAAATTAAAATTACTTTTGACTAACATTAAATTTTTATAGATCTAATTGATATGCTAATATTATGATAAAATTAGATAAAAAAAAACACGAAAATTAAATATATTAGTTTTATTATCATTTGTAATTTTTAAATTTTATAAAATGCAATTTTTAATCAATTTTAATTGAATATGTAGACAATGATAAATTTAAATAGTATATTATTAAGTTAACAATTTTTTTTTTGCTAACAGAAATTTAGTTAAGTTAAATTATGAAAAAAATTAATACAAATTAATCAAATTGAAAGGTCAGGTTATCTTTATTGATATTTGTTAGAGAAGAATATTTGTAAAAACATAAAAATTAAATTTATAAAATAAGATATATTTTATTTTATTAAAGATTGATAGTGAATTCTATCTTTTATTAAAGTAAATTCAAGATATATATATAAAATATATCATTAATAAATAATATAAATATAAAAGAAAATAATTATATAAGATATAACTATAACAATAAATATATTATAAAAATAATGAAAATAAATATAAAAGTGATATTTATGATTATAGTAATAATTTGATCACTTAGTTCTTGTAAATTACAAAATATTATCAGCATAATAATCCTAAGATATTATAAATAATATTTACAAATAAAAAAATAAAAATTATAAAAAATTTTTTTTGAATTAATATTAAATCTAAACTTATTTACTAAAAAAATTATATTTAGTTTATAAAATAAAATTTAATTTTTTGTAATTTCCTTCTTTTTACTGCAAAATATCCATATATTTTTGATAATTTTGGTTGATCAAATTATAATTGATTAATAAATTTTATAAATAATTCAAAATAATTCAAAAAATTATATAAAATTCTTACATTATTCCAAAATTCAATATTCAAAATTAATTTAATTTTTCTTTTATTTGAAATTTAATAAATTTATAAGACAATAATAATATATTGATTCTTATTATATAGCTTCCGATTAGAGTTCTGAATAGATCAAATCAGGTCAGATCATAGGTTAACCTGACCTGATTTAGAGCTCTACTTCTGATAATAATAATATAATATGTAATATATATTTTTTTATTATAAATATCATAATATTGTTAAAATTATTAGGTAAAAATAAAAATAATTAATAATACTTTAATAATTTGCATAATATTCTTAATCTAATTTAATTCAAGATATCTTTTAACTATAAATTTATATAATAAGTCTAATAATTAAGAAATATTTATTATTATAATAATTAAAATAAATAATAAATTAATAATAATACAATAATATAATAAATAAAATATGTAAATTTTATGAATTAAAGATATTTCAAGCTATTTTTATATTAAAAGTATTATCTATAATAGTTGTTATAATTTTCAATATTTAATTTAATATATATCATAATATTTTTAGCTTTTATTAATTTTTGATTTATAAAATATTAGTTTTTGTATAATATCATATAGATGCTTTATAATAGAAGATATAAAACTCTAAAAAAATTAAAATTTTATTTTATAAGTTAAATATAAATTTTTTAGTAAAATAAGTTGAGATTTAATATTTAAAAGAATTTTTTTTAAGAGTTTGTAATCTTTTTATTGCAAAGTTTCCATATAATTTATAATATTATACATAATAAATATTAGATCATCTATCAATTATAGAAACAAATTCATGATATTTTATATTTCATTTTCAATAAACTTATATTTTGAATTGAGAATTATATTAGACAATTCATTTTTGAAAGATTTTTAAAAATACAATAAAGCTTTTTTAATAAATATATTAAAATATTTATTTTTAATTATATTAAAAAGTATTTCTATTAAAAAAAATGCTTATATTAAAAACTTTTATAATTCAAGATGATACTATAAATTAAATTTATAAGTAAATCCATTTAATTTAGTTAATTTATTAGTTTTGTTATTTTAATAATAGTCAAAATATTTGTTGCAGTTTCTTATTTTTAAAAATATTCCTAATAGATTTTGATTAATGTGTAATATTTTTTTGATAATGTTTACATTGATACTAATTCTATTATATTTTTACTAAAATTTTTTTTTATTAATAATATAAATACAAAATAATTAGTTATAAGAACTATTTATTGCCAATTAATTTAGTAATATATTTTTATAATTTACCAAAACGTGTTGATAAGTTATGGTAAAAATTTATAAATTATGATAATTAATTATACATCACAAAAAATATTTTTAATTCACATGATGAAAAATAGGATTTTTTATATTGAAGTCTTTAGGAATATGTAGTAAAAATAAAAATGTGGAGGATTTGACACAAAGTAACAAAATATTTGTAAATGTTAATATGACTTTTCAAGAGAGCGGGTTGATTAAAAATTAAGTATTAATTATTGAGGACAAAATTTAAAATCTAAAAATATAATTCATAGGAGGGGACCATTTATAGGCATAATTGTAAAACGAGAAAATAATTATAAGGATTTCGCTTTGGATACATTTTTATTATTAATCTTGGTTATTTAATAATAAATTAAAATTGTTAAAAAATTAACAATCTATACGATTTTAATATTAAAGTTTTTGTTGTCTTTATTAATAATTATATATATAATAATTTTATAATAATGAAAAAAATTTAAAATATTATCATTAAAGAATAGTAAAATTTGATAATTAAAAATAATAATAAAAATATAAATTCTAACTTATAAATGTTTTAAATTTAATCTCTTCCAAAGAAATTTGTTTCTTTTGTTCATGATCACTACGATGTGCATCATATATCCTTTTCATTTACTAATATTCCTTCCTTTAATCTATCATCATTTCGAATCTCATCTTCATTCAGTATAGTCACAGTATCATTATTATTATGACGATTCTCAAACAATTGACCCACATCATCTTTTGATACATTGTGTGGTTCCTTCGATATAGAATCTTCAGTTTTTGTTACATTATTTGCTTGATCTAAATTTTTTAAATCTTCACTATAAAATTGTTCATAAGTATCAAAATGTTGATTACAGTCAAAATCCCAAGTTTTTATCCATTTGGCTCTTTGACATTCACTTTTTATCCATGGATTACTATAAGCCATTGGTGAAAATAATGAAAAAGTATATATTACTGCTAATAAAAATATTGTGGCTGCTATGTAACGTTCTCTTTTTTTTAATCGAATCGTAAATAAATCAAATCCAATGCCAATAAGTAAGATTACGTAATATAATGATGGGAAATAATGATGCAAGAAAAGTTGTCGGTTCATTAAAAAGAATGGAAAATAATGAAGGAACCATCCAACGAAAAGGAAACTAGCATTGGAATCAAAATGTGCTATTGTCGCTATAATCAAATATATATTTATATTTATATAAAAAAAAAACCAGGACCCAAAAATTTTGCAATTTTAAAAAAAAAAATCCTTACCGTTTAAATGATCCTTATAACCTCGTTTTGCTCTCAGGATTAAAACAGATTTTGCAACAATAAAAATAAATAAGGCAAATGTAGAAGACCACCATGTTAATGGATTCCCTAATAAATAAATCTGGCGGTGTTCTTTACCCCAGAAGTTAATTCCACGTCTCATGAAAATCCAGGAAGACGGATGAGAGTCATAAGGATGAGAATCTGTTAGTCCAGAATTCGTATTCCACATCACTTTATTAAGTTCAAATAACTTTTTAAAGAATCCTGGTTTCCTATAGTTCACTTTCTCAGAGTCTTCGGGAACTAAAAAAAGTCGTTAAATATCATTTAATCCGGCTTATGAATGTTAAAATATTCAAAAATTTGTACTTACGTTTTGGATGTGAATTTTCCTCAATATACCAAAGTGTATTCGGATAACTTCCGCCATTTACACACGTAACCTCTTGCTGACCATAAGCCCAATCAGGCAATTTTACGGAATGGGAAAATAGATAACAACCTGTAATAGTGTGTTGAAGTCGGAATTTTGTGTGAAGTGTACGAAGGCGCTCTTTAGATTCTGGATCTGATTTATCATGTTCTGCAATCTGTACACGCCAAAAGTCATTTGCATCTCCCTCAAATCCTTGATAACCATAAGCACTATGAAATAAATTATAAATAACGTTAAATGAAACAGGATGATATAAATATATTTATTTCACAAAACAACACACCTGACTTCATTCTGATATTCTACATCAGTAACTGGAGGCCTAACATCGTGACTATGTAACCTCTTGAAAGTAATAATATGCTCAAGTCGAATTACATCACCGTTACGAACCCACATAGGGTCAGATTCGTTGAATGGTACTTCGGGAACGGTTTGATTTTGTAAAACCCATAAATTATTCTCATCTTTATGTGGATATAAGGTGATCTGTTGTTCTAAAGCAAAAAAAAATATATAATTTTTTTTTAAAAAAAATTGAAAGAATTACTTAATGTGAATTTAGTTATAATACTTACGTGTGCTACCTCCAGGATAATTGTGCTTATGAGAATGTAAATATCCTCCTTGTGTATTGACATGTTTAATAGTTATCTGCGAACCAAACGCAACATCTAAAATAATAAAAGAATAAATAACTTTTTTGAAATAAATATATATTGAATTATTAATATTTCACACCTATTGGCATATCTTGCATGTCATGTCCTTGCAAAGTATGTTGAAATTCAGAACTCATGAATCCATCTCCATCACCGCTACGTTGCAAGATTGCAAAATGAATAGCAAAAAATAAACAATACAATGATACTGGAATCACAATTAAACATATTGCTCGAGCGAAAAAATGTTTGGCCCATTGAGTCTTTGGAAAAAAAAAGTAATAATAATAACCTTTTTAAACATCTGCTTAAAAAATAAAATCAATAATTGTCGAATACTCAAGTTATATATTTACCGGCGTTATTCTTGGATCACCGAGTAAATCCCATAATCCCTTTATTGTTGAGACACCAATATGAGCAATCGTAAAAAGTCCAACCCATTTACAACTGTAAATAAATTATGAACCAGAAATATAAATATAAATGACAATTGTTCCATCTTTATATATTAAATTACAAAACACACCTCACTGTAAGTCCGAGTCCTACACCAGTCATTGCCATCCAAACCCACCAACGTATTTGAAAAGGTCTTGTGGCATTCAATAAAATAATGTGAGGGTCAATAAATGTAAAGTTAAATAAGAAAATTTACGAAATAAATTAAAAGTAAGCCATACCTTCTTTGCTCATTATGAAATTTCACCCACATTAATATCGTAAAACCAGTGAAAGCAACAAGAGGTGCATCCAATAAAATATGCCTACTTTGAGTTACCAATCCATTTTCTTAATGAATTAAAATAAATTTGAATTAAAAAATGAAAATAAAGATGATCAAATTTTATTTTTAAAAAAAAAATTTTATATTTTACCAAATATTATTAAGGTAGCTACCAAGAATGATGCAGTACTGCTAAATCCTGATAATTTAATGGTTAAATAGGAAATTGGTATTAAGAAAATCCCCAGAGAAGCGGGCATTAGACGCATTGCAACATATGGTACTTTAGGTTCTAAATAATCCCTATTTTTTTTTTTTAAAAAAAAACGAAATCAATAATTATAATAAATAATAAAAAAAAATTTTAATAAAAATTTTAAAAAAATTTGGCACTCACTTGCCAATTTCTTTAAAATCAAAATTTCCATTAAAACCTCCCAATAACCCAGCAAGAGTGATAAGTAATTTTGCTAATGGTGGATGTACATCCATAAAAAACCTTCCTCTTATATATTTTCTATTTAATAAGAAGAGAATTAATATCCATTATCAAAGATATCAATAAACATTGGAAATTTAAAAATTTGTACATACGTTGCAAACCCACCAAAATGTACTTCATCGAATCTGTTTATAATATCAAACATGTATGAAATTTTGCTTCTACAAATAAAGAATAATTGAAAAAAATAATACTTACACCACTGAAGTAGGTTGATCGATTCGATATAATCTCACAACGAATGCAACTAATATAAGTATTGCAAGATTGCGCAAATCCTTTTTGCCTACACTAATGAATGACCGAGAAAATCTTCTGTCTTTATATTCGGATTCTCTCAAATCATATATCGAAGGTGCATCAGAGTCTTTATAGTCATTTTTTACTTTTCGGAATCTAAAATTATCATATGAGGCTCCATTCGAAGCAATTTGATCTGTAGCTAATCAAAATTAAAAAGTAAATAAATTAGTTTGACCTTGAAATACCGCAAATGGTATGTATATACAGTACCTGAATATTTGTAGTCCATGTTCATATTCAAGGAGTTTAAAGCAAATTTTTTTTGAAACAGTATTATACTGTGAAATATTCCCCAATATGTTTTGGTATTACACGCGTATTTTTAGTCGCGTTAATTTTAATCATAGTATCGTTTTCTTTTAGGTAATCTTCCAGAAAATATTACCAAATTAGCGCTGGGTCTGTGGGTCAATAAAATCAACTAAAATGGTATTCTGGGTGTAATCAACTATTTTTCATAAAAAAATGTCGAAATTATTTAATCTTATTCATGATTCTGATGATTCAGATGTAGAAGAAAGTTATGCTCAAATTTGTGGCATGTAAATTTTACTTTCACATTTAGATATAAAAATTTTATTTTTATAATAAAAATCATATACATTTATTCAATTTTATTTTATTTTTTATTTTTCTATTTTTTCAGATGTAAAAAACAAATACCGAAATATACCTGCCCTAGGTGCAATATAAAATATTGTTCTTTGAGTTGTTATAAAAACGAGGTACCCATTAAAAGTTTCCTTTAATCATGTCATTAAGTTGCTTAACTTTTTTTTTTCCTGTATACTTAGATTCATTCAAATTGTACAGAATCTTTTTACAAAGATAGTGTAATCGAAGAAATAAAATCTAATCGTGTAGATGATGATTTAAAACAAAATATGTTTGATATGTTGAGGAAATTTGAACAAGAAAATGATGAGATGGCAAGAGAAGCAATGGAGCAAGATGACGAAGGTTTATCAAAGTAAAATTTTTTATTATTTATAATATATACTTTAAACTGAATATTATTCTTTTCTTAAAAGATACAATTGACGATTTTGCAGAACGATTTAAAAATTTAGATCTTGGTAAAAATAATTTGGTTATTGATTTAGATTTAAATTATGATTTATGAATTTGTTACATGTTAAATCGCTTTTTCGTTCCTTTAAAACAGATTCCGCTGATGTTGAAACAATTTTGGATAAATTGACACCAGCAGAACGAAAAGATTTTGAACAAAAATATCTTAAAGGAAGATCAGAAAATCTTTTGGAACTTGCAGATGAACTACAATTATGGAAACCATGGTGGGAATTATCAACAGAATATAATAATCGTAGAAAAAAAAGTACATCATTAAAAATAATTGAATTGGATGAAAGCGAAGATGACTTTGATTATGATAGCGATGATAGTAGCGGTTATTTTGCCAATCGACCTCCAATCTTAACAGATATTAAAAGTTTAGAGGATTTAACTAAAACATCTCCGAATCCTGTTATATCTTTAAATTTGTTAAATATATTGTATCTTTTTTATATATAATGTGATTACGGGATTACGGGTTTTGTGAAATTGTGTTAACATTAGTTTAATTTCCTTAACAAATTATTATAAATAGATATGCTTATGCATATGCTTGTCGTACTTTTAATGGAGATATCTTTGAAATTCCGGAAGAATCATGTAAAGTATTATGGGATTTATCTCCTATATTAGCTACTAAAGAGAATTTGGCATATGAAAGTATTTCTCAAGCTATTGCTGCAAGTTCCTCATTAATTGTTCAGGTTTGACATCTCTTATAAAATAATATTTTTTTTTAAAAAACCAAAATTCTCATTATTATTTATGTCGATTTAGAATCCTATTTATAATCAACCACATGAATTTTCATTTCTTATTTTAGATGATATCATCAATTTACTTTCATCAACTAGTAATATCTTGGCAGCTTTATCCGATTTATATAGATTGTTTCAACTTGTTGGAAAAGCAAAATCCAAAAAAGGAAAAATTAATCAAAAAGCATTTCTTACGGAAAAGAAAATTTATTTTTATATAGTGTATGTCAATTATTTATCTCAACAATTAGGCTCAACTTTTCTAGAGGCTTTAAAAGATGGTGTAGAATTAGAAAAACAAGAACAGTTAAAAGAAGTAAAGGAATATAAGAAAGATCAAAAAAATATTGAATCATTTATGAAAAATAATGAACAAAATGTTAGTGATTTTACTAATTTAATTGAAGAACTTCAATAATTTACTTTCTATCAAAACAATAAATAAATAATTTATTTTGATTTTTACATCCAACATTTTTTCTAAAAAAAATTCTGCCAAGAAATACTAATCAATATAATAATAATATTCATTATTATTACAAATTACTAATGTTCTTTATTTTTAATTGATTAAATTGTATTAAATGTTCAATGAACTAATTAAAATTTAAATTATACGTTAAGACATTATACTTTTATAATGTTTATCACAATATGGCTTTCCTTCATGAGTATAAAAATATGAACCATGAAAAGGTTCTTTACAAGTCTATTTATTATATTAATAATAATAATTAAACGATTAATTAGTAAAAAAAATTTTTTTTAAAAAAAAAAAAAAAAAACTATAAAATAATTAACCAACCGTGCAAGCAAAACAGTCTCTATGCCACATTCCTTCTAAAGCATTAAGAAATTCTCCTCTAATAGGTTCTTTACATCCTAAACATTTTGGAGCTAATTATTTAAATTTAAAAAAATAATTTAATTTTTTCTTATATATATACAACAAGAAACATTATTTAATAATACTAACCATATAATTTTGTCCAATCCTTTTCGCAATATGGAAAACCTTCATGAACCATGAAACCTCCTTCAAAAGGATTACCACATTCTCTACAAAAGAAATGCCCTGGATGCCACGATTTTCCAAGAGCAGAAATAGATTTCTATTAAGTAGAAAATTTTAATTAGTAATCTATTAATTAAATTATGAATATTTCCTTTTTAAGAGACGAAAGCTTACTCCTTCAATAGGCGTTTCACAATGTCCGCATCTAGGGCTAAATAGCTCATGAAAATCCAAATGACAATATGGATTACCATCATTTTCAAAGAAAGCGACATGTTCCAAAGAGATACCACATTGTTTACAAACAAAATGACCGGGATGCCATTTTTTACCCATAGCAGTTAACATATTACCCGATATAGATTTACCACAACCAGCGCAATCAAGTGGATTTTGTCTACTGTTAGGTGTTACTTCTGCAGACTCATTATTCTTATCGTCACCTTGCTTTGGTGAAGGAGAATAGGGTAGTTTTTTATCTAATTTATCCAAGGGAGGATATTTTTGTTGAGCTTCTTCATAACGAGCACCCCAATTAGTACCCGAACGATTTTGTAATTCTTGAATTGTGGAATTACGTTGTTTTTTATTTGATGCTATTTCGTTTTGTTCTTGTTTTGGTGAATTTGCCGTAACCGATTTCTTTACGCTTGGCGTTCTAGATGCTGCACCATATGATCTAAATGCAGCAGATAAAACGTAACTACCCTTTGTTGGGTCATCTGGTTCCTTTGGAGGTACACTATTGTTGTTACCTTTTGATTGAGGAGGTGTTGTAGTATAGTTGTTACCTTTCGATTGAGGAGGTGTTGTAGTATAGTTATTACCTTTCGATTGAGGAGGTGTTGTAGTATAGTTGTTACCTTTCGATTGAGAAGGTGTCGTGGTATAGTTGTTACCTTTCGATTGAGGTGGTGTTGAAGTATTGTTACTTATTGATTGAGGAGGTGATGTAGTAGGTTTAAACGATAATTTAGTCTCCATAGGATAAGAAAGATCATTTACTATATCATCAATACTTTTATAAGTAGACATGTTTTTTTCTTTATCATCATTTGAAATAGAAGAATTTGAAGATACGGTTGAAGAATTATTAAAAACTGAATTTCCCTTAATCGATTCAGGAATGGACGTAATTGTAGGTTCATTTGTATTTGTTGAATTATTATTATTAACAACGGATGCTCTAGGTGAAGTAGTAGCGATTAAACTGTTTCGTTGAGAAAGAGGGGGAGATCGTGGTCCATGAAGAGCACCAGCTTTTCTTTCTCCCGTCAATGTTGAGCTATTTGTTGATGGACTTGGACTGTTTGGAGGTATTTTGAATAGTGAACTCCTTGGTTGCGTACTGGAAGACGTCGGTTTTGGCGATTTTGAAGCTAAATCTCTAACATATTTATCTGTAATAAGAAATAAGTATTAACAAAAAAAAATCAAAATGAAAAAAATAACATTGAATAATAATAGATAATAAAAATTAATTAATTATTTCTTACCAAGTTGTTCTTTCGTTAAAAATGACATTTTGAAATGTGTATTATTATTATAAATTAAAGATATTGAAAATTGAAATTCATAAAATTGTTCTTAAATATGTGAAAAAAATGATTTACTAAAATAAGTAAAACTTATGATTACACATACATCCCTTAGTGATGTCTTGGAAATCTTGGAAACTTGCTTAATGATGTCATATAATATTAACTTTCAATGAAAAAAAGCTAGTCGAAAAAATAAATCGGAGTGTTAAAAGCGTATCGGACGAATTTTTTTTTTTAAAAAAATTCTACTCATGGTAACGAATAATCAAAAACGAATTTCCTTGTAAAAAATTACATTCATTTGTTATATTTAACATATAACGATAAGGAAAAAAAGGTCTTTTTTCCACCCTGAAAAAACCTTAGTTTTTAACCCTTTAGAAATGGATTGAGAATTCAAAACACAAAAGTAAATATTAAACATCTCAATCCGACTGACTGAATCATAGTCTGAAAAATAAAAGTGCGGCATTTCTTTATTTTGTTTTATCTCACGGAAAACAACTTTTAATGGCTAATTTCTATATATCTTTACCACTCTTTTTTTGCGAGGTTCTCAACTTTTTTTTCTTACATTATAATAGATATTATAAACAAATAAACACCTTTTGTGAGGAAGGGCTGAACAAATGAGCTAAAGTAATTACCAAAAAAAAAAAAGTATTTTCTAAACTACTATCACGCGAGAAGAGTAAGTTTGCAGATATTTCGTTATTAATTTTATTAAAATATTAACGTTGACTAATTAAATAAAAATTATTCAATTTTTTAATAAAGTAAAATATCAAACAAATAATAATTTAAAATAAAAGTTCAAATTTATGCCCCCAAAAATACTATAGATAAAAGCATAGATATTAGTTTAATCAAAATTCTATACTTAAAGTCCTCTTCTATCTGTGATTTTTTTACAATTGATTGTATTTCATTTTTGTTATTTACTAATTTTAGATTGAGATCTCTTATATATTCTAAAAACTGCTTCTATTTTTATTGTTGCTTAATACATTGCAGATGTTTTTCTAATTATAACAGTTTTATTTGAAAGTAAACTTAGGGTTATTCTATTAATGCTATTATTATTATTTTGTTTAAATTTTAATGATTATACCAATTATTATGCTTACTTTTAATTAATAAAATTATTAAAGCAATAATATTATGAATATTTTATTCTATACAAAAAAGGTTTTTATACTACTTTCTTTTTGCTTAAATAAATATTTCTTTTCAACTTAAAAATATTAAACAATATAAAGTATTATTTGAATTGTGATGATTTTTTAACAATTTAATTTTCATCATTAAAAGCTAAAATATATATAAATCTTAAATATGATAATAGTATATTTTAATCATTAATATTAACTAAACAAACTTTATAATTCATTTTATAATAATAAATACTTACCTCTATAATAAAATAATAGCAATGTTAACAAATATAGCATTTTTTTATTAATTGTATTGCTTTTATTTGTAAAGATAAAACTGAATTAATTTTGAAAATTTTAACTAGTTGCAACTTAAGTTGCAATTATTTATAAATTTTATTTTAAATAATTTTACAATTTTTTAATTATAGTTTTTATTTTTAATTATTTGTAATAGATTTTATTTATATTATCAATTATAAATTTTAATTATATTCTAAAGTTATTTTGTATTATATTTTTTGAATTCATATTATATTATAGTAAACAATTATCTGAATTATATAATTCTGTTATATAAATTTGCATTATATATAAAGTTTAAATATTTTACTTTATATAATATTATATTATTATATGAGTTGATTGTAAAGTCTATCAACTAAAAAATAGGCTTTAATACATATGTATAGTAAAATTATAGGTATCTAAAGAATAATAATTTAATTTAATAATCTTAAGAACTTGTTTATGTTAATAAAACTAAAAAATTATTTGTATATCAATTTATAAGTATAGGGAATATTAAGAATATATAAATATAAATTAAAAATATGTAATAATAATTTGAATATGTAAAAAGAACAATAATAATAGATTGGATTTTAAGTTATAAGTTTAGCAGACTAATGTTATAGTATAAAGTTTGATTTATTAATAAAATATAAATGGAAATAAGCACTTATTTATGTACTTATTAGAATATAAATTTTATAATTAATTTTCTAATAACTAATTCGCTAATTAACTTACTAATTAAAAATCTAACTTAATTGTCTAATTATTAAAAAAAAATTATAAATTTTATTAATTTAGTTAACTACATTAACTAATTTAAATAAATAAATATAAAAAACTAATTAAACTTAAATAATTATATAAATTTAATTAATAATATTATCATCATTTTTGAGCTTTCAGTTATTTTGATTATTAAGCTACAGCTTAAGAAATTACAACTTTCCTAGTAAGTATCTATAAAGTTATAATAAAAGTTATTTTTTTTCAAAATATCTTTGCTTCTATTAGTTTAATAATTTTAAATTTATATTTATTGAAAAGCTCTCAATAAGATGATTCTAATGATTATATTTTTATTAAAATATATTTATTAGGTCAAAAACAGTGTATAAAATCTAAGTTAAATTTATGTGCATAAATTGATTAATTATTACTCAAATAAGAAAATCATAACATTTTCTTATGTAAAATTACCTTTTTTATACATAATTTATCTATTTTTAGTAATAATTTGTGCACATTTTATGTTGTATAATATGTGCACACAAAAAATTAATGTGCACTTGTGCATATTGTACACATAGATTTTACACACTGGTCAAAAATTATTTTATTTAATAATATTAAGATTAATTAATCAACTTCTATTAATTAAGAATTTTTAATATATTTTAATTTATACTATATTGATAATCTGCTTTATTTTATTATTATTATATAAAACTTTATTATAGTATAAGTTGATTGTATTTCTAAAATTTAAAAATTTAATTTTAATTTTTTATAAAGAATTAGAGCATAAGTAATAGTATAAAAAACCATAGTAATCATAACTTTTAAATAAAAAGTTTTAAAAAAAAATATCAAAATTTATTAGAAATGCTTATAGATCTTAAAAATAATAATAATCATTTCTAGTAAAAATTATATTAAGTAAATAATTACATTATCATACAATTTATAAATTTATCAGATTAAAAATTTAAGCTTAATTTTAATAATATTTAATTTAACACAAAATGTTAAATACAATATATAATATTAATTTTAATATTAAGTAATATTATAGAATATATTAAATTACAATTTCATTTAGTATTATAAACTCTATTCATTATAATAATCTTGTAATATTTTAAAATTATTAATAATATTTGCTTATAATTTATAATAATAGAAATAAGTCTAATTAATATAGTTTTATATATTAATTAAAAATGTAGAAAATTAAAAAATTTATAAATTTTATTAAAAATAATACTTATTTCAATTTTAAATAAATAAATAAATTGAATTTAATGTATATTAATATAGATTAATAAAATTCTAATTGATCTTAAATAATTTAAAAATAATTTATTTAAATTATTAATAAATATTTTAATAATAAATTTATTTTTTAATAATAATAATAAATAATTTTTTAATAATAATAATAAATAATTTTTTTTATTAATTTAAAATAAAATAATTCTTTAAAAATTAAAAACATACTTAATTTAGGATCTGATTCTAGAATTTAGATATTAAATCTAATATTTTAGAATATTTAAATTTAAAAAAAATATAAATTTATTTAATAAGTAATTTTAATTAAAAATTGATTATAAAATAATATTTTTAAAATCAATTAGAACTTTTTTGAAGTTTTAATCCTAATATTAGTATTATTATATGATAAATACTATAAAAGAAAATAAAGTAACTTTATATATAAAGTTATACTAGTTAAATAATAATAAATAGAAAATCAATCTGATCAAATTTGGATTATCAGATTTAATCTAATCGGTTTCCTATTTTTTTTTGTTTTTTAAAATCAGATAATTCTGATTAATGATAAATAATAATAATAGGGTTCTAATTAAAGATGGTCTTCATAATTATTTTCAAATTTTAATTGAGTTACAACTTAATTGCATCATAAGAAAATTTAATTATATCACTAGTTGCAACTTAATTATGCTATTTTTTTTAATTATAATGATTATCTTTAGTTTTAATCAAAGTGTTATAAAGATATTAATATAATTATTCTTATTAATATTAATATATTAATATTTAAATTCTAATTGGTTTATCTTTAAGTTATCAATAGAATATTCTTATTGTTACTTATTATATTAATATTATACGAATAGTATATTCTGATTAGTAACATTTTATTAAATTTTTATAATACAGCTTAAAGATGAGAACTAGCATTCCACACGAATCGGATCAGATCAGATTTGGGCAAAATCTGATTTGATCTGAATTTGACAAATCTGAATCTGAATCCGTATTTGAATCTCTCAGATCAAAAACTTTTTTAACAAAAATCTGCCTCCGCTATTCAGAATGACGTTTTAATGTTAAAAAATAACAAAATTGTTGCTTTTTTAACAAAAATCTGCCTTTAACATTCAGAACAGCGTTTTAATGTTAAAAAAATAACAATTTTGTTGTTTTTTTAATAAAAACCTGCTTCTGTTATTTGGAATGACGTTTTAATATTAAAAAATAATAAATTGTTGCTTTTTTAACAAAAATCTGCCTCTGACATTTGGATCAGTATTTTATTATTAAAAATTAATTTTTTTAATAATAAATGTTGCGTCTGACTTTCGGGATGGCATTTTATTATAAAAATTAATAAAAATCAATTCTTTTATTAATAAATGCTGCATTTGACTTTTGGAACAGTATTTTGTTATTAAAAATTAATAAAAATTAATTTTTTAACAATAAATATCACGTCTGACTTTCAGGGTGGCATTTTATTATTAAAATTAAAATTGTTTTAATAGTAAATATCACGTCTGACTTTTGGAATGGCAATTTGTTATTAAAATTATTAAAAATAAAATTTTTAATAATAAATGCCACATTCAACTTTTGGAATAACATTTTAATATAAAAAATTAATAAAAATTAATTTTTTTTAATAATAAATGCCACATCTGACTTTTGGGACAGTATTTTATTGTAAAAATTAATTTTTATTAATTTTTTATTGATAAATACTACCTCTGACTTTCGAAGTAACATTTAAATATAAAAAATTAATAAAAATTAATTTTTTTATTAATAAATGACGCTTCAGACTTTCAGAACAGCATTTTTATTAAAAATTAATTTTTATTAATTTTTTATTAATAAATGCCACATCCGACTTTCAGGTGGCATTTTTTATTTCAAATCCAATAAATCAGATCTGAATCCAAATCCAAATCTGATGGATTAAATCTGAATTCAAATCTAAATCCGTCGGATTGAATCAGATTTTTTGCAAAACACTAATGAGAACTGTAATTAATATATTGTAACTTTTAATATTGCAACTTACATTGCAATTAGATTTAACCTATATATATTGCAACTTATACTTTTGTAACATATGTTATAATGAATTTTAGCTTATATTGCAACAAGTTGTAAATTTAAAATTAATTGCTACATTATTTTTAATATAAATAATATTTATAATCATTTTTTATACAATTAAGTAATCCTAATTAATTACAATAAAAATAATTTTTATTATTAATATAATTTTATATTAATTTATTATATTTAATTATAAAAAAGTATATTTATAAATAATAAATCTTTTGATTGATACAATTTTATTAAATTAATTATTTATTATATTTGATAAAAAAAAAGTTTATTCTTATTAAAAAAGAAAAAAATTAGTAAAAATTGAAAAAAATTACAACCAAAAAAATTATGATTTGTGTTAATAGCAAAAAAAGTTTATTTTTATTAAAAAAAAAAAAATTAGTAAAAATCTGAAAAATTATCACCAAAAGTATCTTGTTTTGTAGATTTATCTTAGTCAATAAGCAAGAAAAATCCACTTCTTATTAAAAAAAGAAAACAATTAGTAAAAATCTGAAAAAGCATCTTTTGAAAAGCCACTTACTTATTCAAAAAATAGAATATTTAATACAGAGTAATACTATAAAAAATAAGTAAAATAAGTAAAAGAACTGAAAAAAAATGTATCCTAAAAAACTACTTATTTTATTTAAAAAAAAAAAGATTTGATATTATAAAAAAAGAAGAGAAAATTAATAAAAACCAAAATTATCTGAGAAAGAGTCTTAAAAAGTCACTTATTTTATACAAAAGAAAGAAATATCAATTACTAAAAAAAAATTTAATGAAAAACTAAGAAAATAAAAAATAAAGAAAAGCAATTTTGATTTATTAAAAGAGGTTAAATATATTGTATATTTACTATGGTACTTGATTTTTATAGTAAACAATTATATATAAAAAGTTAATAGAAGATAAAAAACATATTCAAATACATTAATTCATATTCAAAATGATAAAATTCATTTTAAATTGATGAATTTTTGTTTTTTGAATATAAAATTGTTATTGATTAATAAAATTCACTTTGATAAATGAAATTCATTTCAAATTAACAAATTTTATTTTTGAATGGTAAATTTGTTATTGATTAATAAAAATTGACTTTGAGTTAATGAAATTTCACTTCAAATATAAAATTCATCATTCAAATTGATAAAGCTTTACTTTTGAAATAAAATTTGTCTCAAATTGATAAAATTTTATTTTTAAAATAAAATTCATAATAAATTATCAATAAATAAGTTATTAAATTTATGAATTTTATAATAAATCAATTGATGAATTTCGTAATAATTTATTAAATAAATTTATAATAAACTAATTGATAAATCATTATAATAAATAAATAGTTAACAAAATTTATAATAAATGAATAGTCAAATAGAATTTATTAATTAATGACAGATTTCATTAAATTACTAATGAATTATATTATAGATTATTAAATCTTATTAATAAAACTTGTTAACAAATTGTTAACTATAGAAATCAATCAGTAAATTCTAATTGAATAATATTTATCAGTTTAGTATTAAATAATTTGATAAATAATTATTAATTGAACTTGATTTGTTATTATTAAATATATAGAAGTTTTGCAATAAATAGAAAGGTATAATACTTCAAAATAATTTTTCTAGTTAATATTAAATTTCAACTTATTTACTAAAAAAATACTATTTAGCTTATAAAATAAAATTTTAATTTTTTTAAAGTATTATACCTTTTTACTGCAAATTGTTTATATAATTATAAATAATTTAAAATAGATATAAAATCAGGTTGGAAATCAATTTATGTAATTTTATCTAATATTATAAATTGGATATTAATTAATTTTATATCTAATTATAGTATTTACTGATTTTATCTATTGATTACTGATCAAAAAAGTGATTAATTAAAAAGGTATCAAATTGATTAGCATTTGACATATAAATATAAAGTGATTTAATAACTATATATGCATCTTTATAATAGAAAGGGAAAAATTGCTAAAAAAATAAAAAATGAGTTAATGTTAAATTTAAATATATTTTAGCCTAAAAATCATATTTGACATATAAAATAAATTGATTTTTTCTGATAGATTTCCTTCTTTATATTGCAGAAATCTTATATAATATTAATAATACTATTAAAGTGTGAGTTAGATATATTTCTTAACTTCAGATTAAATATGAATAAAATTGAATTCTTTCATTTTATCTGAATTTAATAAATCCAATTTATTCATTTCATTCAGATTTATTATATCTAATTTCTTCATTTTATTTAGATTTAATAAATTCAGTTTATTCATTTTATTTGGATTTATTATATCCAGTTCCTTCGTTTTATGCAGATTTAATAAATCTGATTCTTTTATTTTATCTAGATTAAAGTTTGAATTTGTATAACAGCAATCTATATATTCATACAGATAATAAATTGCAGATACATATTTTTTACATTAAATAATATTTATAGATAAATAATTTTTTATGGATAATTTGTAGATTATTTATGGATAACCTTTATATCTATAAATAATCAGATATGAAGAATAAGATCATTTTTAAAGAATAATAATTTGATTATATTTGTTTTCAAAATATTTTAAAATTTATTAACATTTTCTCACTAATAATATTTCAAATCTCTTTTATTAACATTATTTTTCACTTTCTAACCAATAATATTTTGTTTCTTTTTCATTAATACTATTTTTTCACTTTTTCAAAATAATATTTTATCTTTCTTTTACTAATATTATTTTCTTCTTCTTTTACTTTTTTACTAATATTTTATTATAATTATAACTAAAAATATGAATCAAAAAAAATCATAATACCAGTATATTATCAGCTATTACATTATTAGTAATAAAAACTTTAAGTAAATATTTAATAAATTTCTCATTAGCAGATTCTGATATTAACTCCAAATAGCCAAAAAATCTTTATATTAGCAAGTTTTAACATCAATTTTAAGTAGTTAAAAAACATCATTTTAATAGATTATAGCATAAATTCTAAATAGCTAAAAAACTTCACATCAGCAGATTTTAACACCTATAAATGGCCAAGAAACTTTATATGAGCAAATTTCAATACTAGTTCTAAATAGTTAAAAAATACCATATAACTAGGTTTTAACATCAACTCAAAGTTAAAAGGAAATAACAAAACCTTCAAATTGGTAGGATTTGATCAAAAAATGACCATTCAAATTAATAATATTACTAAGATTTTCCAAAAAATAATTACATATTAACTTTAACTTATACTAACCCAATCAATGAAAAGTGATAAATAATAAGTGATAAATAGTATTTCACATCCTAAACAAAACTAAGTTGCCAAATAAAATAATAAAAAATGATACGAGGAATAATAATATGAGTGATAATTATTTATATAATCACTTACTTGAGCTTTTTTGTTGGTAATACTCTAATTATACTAGTGGTTAATATTTTACCATATTGATATTTGTCTTCATTATATAATTAAGCTCACAAAATTTTCACCCTTACATGCCTTAAAATTTGTCAAATTTCATTTTTACTATGAAAACTTGGAATTTTTTCGATGTGAAAAATACCTTATTTGGAAAGTTTGCTAGGAAAATGGGGCTTTAAGAATTTTTTAATAAAATTTTCATTTTAATCTAATATTTTTTTATTGATATCAATAAATATTATTATTATCAAAAATTAAAATGCAATAAAAATTAAAAAATTCTTAAAGCCCCATTTTTTTTAGCAAACCTCACATTTGTCACGCCACATCACGTCACGGGCAGTCGTTATCTGGTTCGTGTACTGCAAATTCGCTCCAGACAATTATAGTAATTTTTATGTAATAAAAAATTTGTTTAAAAAAATTTGTAATTTTTAAAATAGTATTAATGCATATCGATCACAAGCTTTTTAGTTTTTGAATTACGTTGCAAAGGTGCCTTCTTTGGCGCAAACCGGGTCTTATCCCGGAATTTGTAAAATATACACTAGATTCATTACTCTTTATAGAGATTAAATCGTTGAACGATTTTCCATTTGTCTACATGATGTTGATAAAGGCGATGGATTAGTAAAGACATGTTGACGATAATAATATTCTAAAATAAGAATCGCGTTAGATAGCCAAAGATAAAATTATAGCCACTTATGAATAATAAGCCCGTATAATCAGCAAATTCTTTACGAAATTTGCTAAATCATATTTTCTCCTACTGGGCGTACTGAAATCTGGGACGAGTGTAAATGGTATCTCATACTCACCACTCGTGGTAACATTTAAATGTATCTTCTGCCTTACAAAGTTATTATTTAAAAATCTCATGAAATGTTACCGATAACCTGTATTCCAACAATCCAAATTGGTCCTTCTCTGGTTTACATCCTTATATAGTTTCTCTCGCCAAAATTTTAACATGTCGCCCAACTCTTTTCGTTAAGTACAGGATGAACATGAGTTCATAAACTTTCCATTCAAACATCATGTCTGATCGTCTTCCCATTTGACCATCGCCTTTTCTATCAGCACTGGCGAGACTTTGCCGTTCTGATGTATTAATGAATGCGGTCTTCCCAAAAGAAAGATTGTTCAAAGCGAATCTGATTGATGGTACTATTACAGTACAAATATCTTCATTAAGTGTGTCTTCGAAATCCAGACATCGTTCCTATTATAAATAAAATTTTAATAACGTTGATCAATGATTCGTATTGTAGTTATTTTTTCCTGGTTCTCACTCAATGTATCGAGAAAATTAGTCGCAAGTGCCTTTCCTGATTCTTTCCAAGAACAGTCGTGTTTTAGTTTTCAGGTAAACTTTCCGTTTGATTTTCATTGAAGTCTGCTATAATCCTCCTACACTATTGCTAAGTTTTAAGGTATCATTCGACGCGATGGTTTGTTTATAGCTCGGAACTGAATTAGAAACTTGATTGCTATAATTCTCGAATCATAAAGTACTTCTTTGTAATTTCAGTGAAATGTTCCGAAATAAACCTCTAATAACTCCATGAACAGTAATCGTTCTCAATCCAAGTATTAATTCATTAGAAAGTGAAAATTGCTTCCTCTAGAATAACTAGTTAGTAAAGAATTGAATCGTATCATTTTTTCGCAAATGCTTACCGAAAAATTCGATCTCATATTATTCAAGTTTTAATTTGTTCTATGGCGAGAGGTTTCTCAAAATTAACACGTGCGTTGTCAGCATGTCGTAGGAAAAATAATCAGTTATCAGTTATTGTTGTGGCCGCTTCGCATGAAAGCATGAAAATTACTCTGGGTAATCACAACAATTCGTCATCGCGCATTTAAAATTAAAAAAAGTCACATGCCAAGAAAATTCACAGTAACATGTGACATGAGGCGCAGTAACGTCTGTTGTTTATTATTGTTCGCAACATTTTAAATGGATAAAAATCATTGCTATGAATACCAAAAACCTCTAGGAAAAATTGCTTTATTCAAAGATGTTGAATTATCTATAAAGGATTATACAAAATTATTTGATTCTTTTTTATATTTTGCAATACTTCTAAAATAAGTTTATTTGTAACCTTCTTGATTAACAAATTTTATAATAATAAAGTTGTACAAAAACGGGAAAATTTTGTTTTGAAAGAATACTGCGGGAATCATCGGCCGAATTGTTAGGTGATCAACAAAAAAAAAGAATGATTGAATGAAACTTTATTTGGTATAACAAAAGCCTTATTTAACTGTTGCTACTAAAATTTTGGTTTTAAACCTCTGACCGCATTTCGTTACTTTTGAAATTAAATACACTTTTTTTTTCCTACATACAATTAAAATGGTTAAAAATTCTAATAACGTTGATTCTATGTTAAAAAATTTAGGGGCAGAACCTCTTTTTTCTTGTGCAAATGATACATCCTCGGGTTCTAATACTACTTCACTTGGAAATAACGATATCAAAGTACCTATAATTTCTTATCCAATTCCACAAGACTCAAATACACCATCTGCGTCCTTAATACAAAGTTTTAATGAAAAGCAGGACATCCAAAATTTGACTCCACAAATGCCAAATGAGGAAATTACTATGGGCGTCGGTTCAAATCCAATTTCAATATTAAATGAGCTATATCAAAGAGAAAGAAAATCAGGTTTACCACCAACATATTCTTTTACCATTGATCCTATAAATGGACGATTTTATTGTCAACTTGAAATTTTTGGCAAAGTTTTCAAAACAGACCGTCCAACAATTAAAAAGCAACAAGCAAAAGAAGATGCTGCTTTAATGGCTTTACGTTATGCTGTAAATGAATCTGAAGGTGGAAGTTCTATAGTTATTCCAAAGCTTGATTATTTTGAAAATAGAACAGACCATATTGGTAAATCAGAAAGATGGTATAGAAAACAATTGAGTGATTCTCCAACAAAAAAACCTCGTGTTATCCTTTTAGAATTTTGTCAAATGCAACGTTTGTCAAATCCAATTTATCATCCACGCAATGATCATGCGGGAAATACTTTATGTGATTGTATAGTAGGAGATAGAACATTTATAGGGGATAAGGCATTTATAAAGACAAACGATGCAAAAGATTACGTAGCAAATGTAGCATTTGGTGCATTATACGAGGAATATTGTAAAGCGGAGAAATATCAAATTAGAAAGTTGCAAAGGGATGGACAAGAAACAAGTTCACATTTAAATGAAAGTGATTCATCATCAAGTACCAATTCTATTTTAAATGTCAATAGTTCACATTTAAATGAATATAATTCAAATAATTTGTTTTTAACCGTTGATGAAGACATTCCCAGTATCAAAGTCGAAGGTTTGCATAGCAATAATTTTAAATTTAATTCTCATTCTACAAGAAGTCAAAATTTAAACGAAATCAATTCAAATAATTTGTTAAACTTTGATCAAGTCATTCCCAATATCAAAGTCGAAGATTCGCATGTAGAGATACCAGATATTAAAGTTGAAAAAGGTAGCAATGATTTTAAATTAAATTCAAATTCTACAAATAGTCAACATTTAAATGAAACCAATTCCAATAATTTGTTGTTAATTGTTGATCAAGACATTCCCAATATCAAAATAGAAGATTCAATTTCATCGCTTGCAGAAATACCAAATATTAAAACTGAAGAAGGTAGCAATAATTTTAATTTTAATTCTAATTCTACAAGAAGTCAACAGCAAAATACTTCGTCATCGACAATTTCTTTTCATCCTTATCAACGTTCAACCAAAAATGCAGGTTACAAAAAATATACCAGTTTATTATTTGAAATGGTACAATCAAAACGTTGGTTACGACCAGACTTCACTTTTGAGAATGGTGTTGATGGATTTGTTTGTAAAGTTGGCGTAAGAGATTATTTATTTAGAGGAAAAGCTTATAATAGGAAAATGGATGCTAAAGAATCTGCCTCTGAAGAAGCATACCGATATTTAACCAAATATTGCAAGTGAGAAATTTATTTTTTTGTTTTACGAAAATCATTTAGATCAGAGTTGAATTTTTTCTTTCTTGTTATTCCATTCGGAGCTTAGGATAACTAGGTTTTTGTATTAAGCAAAATTATTTACGTATTGGCTATTAAATTAAATTAAAAGAATTTTGATTCGTTTAAAACGTGTATGTTTAAAATCAAACAATTTTTAAATAAATATTAGTTTTCTTATTATTTACTATATAAAACTATTGATTAAATAATATTATATCATGATTTTGTGGCTAAATGAACTGCTAATTCACGCAAACATTATTCGTATAAATAAAATAATATACAATAATTCTTAATGATATTTTTTTTTGTTTCAAATATTTGATTATATTGTAATAATTTTAAAAACTTTTTTTATTTAATAATAATAAAAATAATAAAATATTTATGATCTTAAGGCTTTAATTTTTTTATAAAAAATATAAAACTTTGTTTTTTATTTATATAATTTTTATAATCATATATATATTATATTTTATAATAAAATCATTATGTGTTCTATATTATATATATAGTTCTTTATAGTCTCTTGTTTAGCTTTAGACTAATAATATATTATATAAAAAAATAATAATTATTATTTTATATAAAGTATCTATTATTATTGTTACTCAAATTTTGGGTTTACCTTTATAAAGATGATTATTATGACTTAGATTAATGATTAATCTGCTATTAATTTTAAATAATAATCTTAATTAGTTTTATTTAAGCTAAAAATTAATTTTTTAGCTTGTTTATGTCTTTTTAAGAAAAACTTATTATAAAAAATTAAAATTTTACAAAAAAAAGTTTTTATTTACTATGCTTTCAATTTTTAATGAGATTTTTACTTTAGATTATTATAAAATCATTTTTTTATACTTATCAAATTTACTTCAAATTTTATCCAATTTTCTATTATAAAACTTTTTGCCCCAAGTAATTCTTACATAAATTTTTTTTTGTTTCATCACAAATTTACTTAAATTACAAATTTAATATATCATTATTTATCTAATAAATAGCTGATTATCCATTGATTCTATAACTTATTTATAAATTATCTAAAGATCATCAGCTATGTTTTCTATTTGGATTTCATTATATACTAAAAAATAGTAAACCATTATTAAATAAATTACAAAATTAATATAATATAATAAAATCATAAATTTACATAATACAATAATAATTATTTAAATATGATATGATTTAATAGGATAAAAAGTAAAAAAAAAAGGTAAAAGTAGATAATGTAGATGAATGAAAGAAAAAAAATATAGAGGATAATACAAATTATATATGATTATATTTAAGATAGTTTCCATAATTATTTTTAAATTTCATTTGAATTGCCACACAATTGCAATATTTTTTAGTAATTGCAGCATTATCTTTAGATTATACAGTTAATTATTTTTTATTTTGATCTGAAAAATAATATCTAATTTTTAAAATAAAGTTTCTTCTTTAAAATTTAATTATTAAATTTATTACATTAAATTAAATATAATTTAAAAACATTTGTTTAGTTATTATTTGCATTAATATATATAATTTATTTTTTTTAAGGTTTTTAGAAAATTTTCTTATTTTATAATATGTAGATATAAAGAAAAAAACTCTAAAAAAGTTTATTTTAAATTAATATTAAATCTGCATTTATTTTACTAAAATAATCATAATTAATATATAAAATATATATATATATTGTGCGTTATCTATCATTTTGCATCAGATGACAGATAACGCATCTCATTTATCAATTAGCGTAATCTGTCAATCGAAATATGAGGCATGTTAGTTGTCACCTGACACATTAAAATTATCATATTAAAATATTATATCTGAATTTCGCGTTGCATATACTAACATGTCAATAATTATCTGCATTTCAAATTTTTTTTTAGAACAATAAAATATATTTTTATCAGTATAGAAACTTTCGATAATTTAGTAAATACCTACCTTAATTATTTGCCGAGTTGCAAAAGGTATAAAGCTTTAGTAAATTTAAAGCTTTTGGATATAATAAAATCAGTATTATTAAACCCTAAAGATATTCATATTTGCGATAAAAATACTTGAAAATTGGCTAAAAAAAGATTTTACCTTGAAGAAACTATTCCTAGAGAATATAGAGTAATGGTCAAAGCAAATAGCAAACCGGTTCTTGTAGTTGAAAGTATGTATGAAATGCTATGTAGAATCCATGCTAAAATGAACTTACATGCAGGACAAAAACAGCTTTGGTTATCTATGAACGAAAAGTAAGGTTGGTTAAAGCAAGATATAATTGAAAAGTTTGTGAATAATTGTATCATATGTGCTACAAGAAAATTTTCCTTTCATCTTTTGGCTGTAAAGCCAATTATTTCAAAAAAATTTTTTCACGCATTTAGGTAAATTTGCTCTAATTTTTTTTTTAAAAAAAATTATAATTAATGTAATTTTTATTTATAGATGGATTTAATTGATAT